TAAAATAGTCGGTGCTGTCTCATTGAGTATATCATTGGTACTCATTGCAATTGCATATTCCTTCGATGTCAATAGACTTGTCATCAAAGTTTCTTTTGTGATCTTTGCTTTTGTGTATTCAATACCTTTCATAGCAAAAGCACTTGCAGAGAAGTATCTTTTCAACACTATTCTTATCACATTAGTGAAGTATGGCTCTTCATTCATAGCGCTGAGTTTATCATGTTTCTTTGCTTTTTATATACCAAAAACAGTAGTTCAAAATGACGTGTTATCCTTTACAAGTTTACTTGATAGTGACGACTCAATCGATTTGTTGATAAACGAATAATTAGTTTATAATTATATTTTTAATTTTTATGGTTGCAAATTATAAAACTATACATATATTATACTGTTATTATATAAATATATTCTATTATAATATAATAAATGTATTATTATATATCCATAATTGAATAATAATAAAAGTTAATAAAAGATTTAGTATATTAACACTTAAAATAGTATTTAACAAATAGTAAAATAAAAGGTTTAAAAACGGGAATTAACAAGTTTATTAGATATATTTCCCATTTTTTAGAAGTTTAATAAATGAAATTTGTTTAAATAATTTAAAATAATTTAATTAAGTATTATTAATAAAACATAGTAAAATATATTTATTAATAAATTAAAACTTTATTAAGATTGTTAATAAAACAATTAATTAACGAATAAAAGAATCACTAGTAAAATCAATTAAAGCGAGGAAAGAGCGGCGAAGTAAGCAAAAAGACAAGTCACTGGCGCGGCTATGAGAAATACAGAAACTCCCTGAAGAAGTGTCAGATAAAACCAGAAGTATCCGATGAACGAAAGCATTGCCGATAACACAATCACAAAAATAAATGCAAAGAATCCAAAGTGAAGGTTTTTGAAACTAGCTGTTCGCAATAACACCACCAACAGTGCAACAAATAAAACAATTACACCAATGGAAAATGTCATCGCCAAGACTGGATTTGTTGGAGGATCGACGGGTTGGAATGTGTGAAAATGGATTTCTTCAGCCATCGATTAGCTTTAACAGTTCTTTTAAGTTTCATTCCGATGTTATATATTATAATTATTTTATTATCATTGTATTATTAGAACAGTATAGAATGATTATAATTTTATTTAATATTGAAATGGAGAAGCTATAATTAACTATAATTAATTAAATTGTTTTTTATATTTTTTATCGATTTGTAATTTAATTTATATTAATAATAAATACTATTTATTAATAAAATATCAGATTTAATTACCGATAAAAAACAATGGTTATAATAATAATTAAATATAATTTTAATCCTTCACTTTTCTTCTCAATAAAAAAGCTCTGGTAAAAAAAGTGTAATCAAATAGCAGTGGTAAACTATTTATAATAATAAAAATAATTAAAATAATAATTACATTTTGTAAATTGAGTAAATAATGGAAAGAGAAAGTAATAAGAACGGAAAATGAAAAAATGTTCTCAAAAAGTAGAGAATGGTTTGTTGTTTCTCGATCAAGTTATTAGATAATACTAAGAACACAAGATGTTCCACAAATAATAAAAATTAATAGTTATTAACTAACAGAGTTACTATATTAAATTGAGACGTGCAAAGCAGACGTATTACATAGTAGTTGTCCCTTCAGACACAATTGGCATAGTTAAGCAACGTCTTGCACTTGTAGCGGGATGTGCTCCCGAGCTGATAGGCATCTTGTCAAGTGACAACAAAACACTAATGTCGGATGATACCCAACTTGGTGTTTCTGTCGAGGTTGGATCTCTCTTTTATTTCCTTCTACGTACGCAAAACGGCTATGAGCCGCTGCAAATCATCGACTTAGTTTGATTCTATTTGTTTAGTATTTTTTTATTATAATTTTTACTATTAAGAATAACACGACTCAAAATGATTTCATTGTATTAAAAAACTCAGCAACAAGTGCTAGTTGTCTCAGAGGCTTGAGTGGCTTCAGTTGCCTTCTCAAGTACTACTACATTGCTCTCATCCTTTTTTTCATCAGCGAGTGGGTTGATGTCTACTAACATGTTTCGCAGTCTAAGCTCTCGCACTACAAATTCGACGATCTCAGTGATGTTTGTGTTGTTCTTTGCAGAACACTCGAAGAAGGGAATTTGATGTGTATTTGCAAAGGACTCGCCTTCCTCTGAAGTGATCTGCCTTTGTTCTTCTAAGTCACTTTTACACCCAATCAAGACTGTTAACGTCTTGGTCGTGTCCGGTTGGACTTGACAGAACTCTTTCATCCAGTCTTCAACATGTTCAAGAGTTTCTCTCTTTGTGATGTCGTATGTGAATAATATGCAGTGTCGGTTACGGAAGTACGTCGTTGTGGTGCTTCGGAAGACTTCTTGTCCAGCTGTGTCCCACTACAAGTTATTATTAATTATTATTAATTATTATTATTTAATGGTATTATATTTTAATGGTTAAATCTTTAATTGAAGAACTATTGAATGTTAACAAACAAGTTGGACGTTATAAGTTTTACCATCTAATGTCAATTTTTTACACATCACATCACATCCAATCGAAGTTTTAGTATTTGCATTAACTAGAAGTGAGTTTAATTAAATTTATAGTTTTTTATTAATTTATTTGTATTGGGTAACAAACATTCACCCGCTGAAAAGCGTTGGAAGAAACACGTTTTACCGACATAAGGATCGCCACAAAGCGCAATGGAGATCAGTAAATTGTTCATCAATGGTATAATTTTGAGTTCTTTGGTGTAATTTTAGTGCTTAAAAAATGAGACTTTGGAATATAATTTTTAATTGTATTTTTATTATAAAAATGTATTATATTAATGGTACTATTATTATAGTTTCAAAAACCAAGTTTTTATAGTTTTTGGTTCTAAGTAATATTTGTAATTATTTTATTAATCATATACTATTTAAATGTTCGTTATTTTGAATTATTTTAAAATGCTTTTTATATAACATTTGGTCTATTTTAGTTAAAAAATATATAAATAAATGTTTATGTATAAATTTGGTATTATAATTATATTAAACAATTATTATA